TCTGATCATACCTGCTTTTCGACGAAATACTTCAGAACAGTGTGTCATCATTCTGGTATATGTTGATGATATTATTATTACTGGTGATGATATTTCTGGGACTGCGCAGGTCAAGGTAGACCTTGGGAAGGCCTTCGATGTGAAGGACCTTGAATTTCTGCGATACTTTCTTGGAATTGAGGTTGCCCGTAGCGGTAGGAGTGTTGTTCTTTCTCAGAGAAAGTATGTTTTGGAACTTCTTTCAGACACTAGGATGCTGGGGTGCAAACCGGCATCATCACCCATGATTCCAAACCTGAAACTTACTGCTGAAGGTGAGGAGTTGAAAGATCCAACAATTTATCAAAGATTGGTAGGTAGACTTATCTACTTAGCCAATACTAGGCGGACATTTCATTCGCAGTCAGCCGAGTTAGTCAGTTCATGCACAGACCGTGTCAGCCTCATCTTGATACAATTTATCATATTCTTCGGTACCTCAAGTCTTATCCTGGACTTGGGTTATTTTATGCATCAGGATCTTAGACCAATTCTCTAGCCTATTATTCAGATTCAGATTATGGGGGAGCATGTAATGGTCGATCTACTACGAGCTTCTGTGTTTTTCGAGGGACTCATCTTATCTCTTGGACGAACAAGAAACAGGCAATTGTCTCCCGCTCATCAGCAGAGGCAGAGTATTGGGCACTAGCACTTGGCACGTGTGAGATTATCTGGTTACGATCGATTCTTGGTGAGTTAGGTTTTTCAGTGACTTCCCCATCCACATTATATTGTGATAATCGATCTACTATTCAGCTTGCTTCTGACTCTGTACTACATGAGAAGACAAAGCATATAGAGATCAATGTTCACTTTCTTCGGGAGAAGGTTAGCAGTGGTATTGTCACTCCATCGTTTGTGGGGACTAGTGATCAGGTTGCGGATATTTTTACCAAGCCTGTCACTCTATCTATTCTTCGGAACTCCGTTGTCAAGCTTGGCTTAGTTGACATTTTTGCGCCTAGCTTGAGGGGGAGTGTTAGAGATATAGTAGCAACCTAGTTTATTAGGGTTTTATTAAGTTTTCTTTTTTTACCTTTTTGTCCTTATTGTAACTCTCATTGACTATATATACGGGGGCTCTACACTTAGTTTGTATCCCTTAACTCATAAATATTCTCCTTCTATACCTACAGGAGAGAAGATAATCATAGGTGGAGATTTCGATTGACATGTAGGAAAAGATAGAATACAACATGAGAAGAAGCATGGTGGTTATGGATATGGATATGGATATGGTGATCGAAATGAAGGCAGAGAGAGTATTTTAGAGTTTGCAATGACTTATGACCTTGTACTGGCAAACACCTTGTTTAGAAAACGAGAAGAACATTTAATAACCTTTTAAGAGAGAACCAAACAAAAGTCAAGTAGACTACTTCTTAAGTAGAAGAACAAACCGATTAGCATGTAAAGATTGTAAGGTTATCCCGGGGGAGAGCTTAACATCTCAACATAGGCTAACAATCCTAGATTTATATATTAATGGGCAACATAGAGTAAGGAGAAGCACTAAAGAAACTAGAACGAGATGGTGAAATCTAAAAGATGAGAAACTAATACTATTTAAGAGTAGAATGCTTAAGGAAGTCTTATAGAACCTAGAGGATGAGACTAACGTTATGTGGAGTAGGATGACGGAATATATTAAGAAAATTTCGAAAGAGATTCTTAGGAAGTCAAAGGGTAGAGAGTTTGTGGGACAAGAAACTTGGTGGCGGAATGACGACATAAAAGATGTAGTTAAAGCAAAGAAAAAATCATTTAAGAGATGGCAAAATGATAGAAATAATGAGAACTTCCAAATATATAAATTAACTAACAAGGAGGTTAAAAAGATAATTAGAGATACTAAATTAAAATTCTATGACGAGTTGTACAAAAAACTAGATAGTAAAGAAGTAGAAAAAAACATTTACAAACTACCTAAAATTAGAGAAAGAAAAACAAGAGACTTTAATCAAGTTAAGTGCATCAAGAGTGGGGACTCAAATATTTTAGTTAAATATGAGAAAATAAATGATCGGTAGAAGCACTATTCTGAGAAACTATTAAATGAAAATTACTTAGAAAACTTAGAAGAGATAAAAAATGGTAGAATCATGAAACGTTCTTTCGTAGAATAAAAAATTTAAGGTAGAGTTTGTACTGAAGAAAATAAAATTAGGCAAAACTTTGGACCAGATGAGATTCCAATTGAAGTTTGGAAGTGCTTAGAGAATGAGGGGTATCTTGACTAACAAAATTATCCAATAAAATTATTGCTACTAGGAAAATATCCGATGAATGGAGAAAGAGTATTTAAGTACCTATCTATGAAAATAAAGAAGATATTTAAAATTATAATAATTATAGAGGAATAAAATTGATGAGTCATACAATGAAACTTTGAAAAAATGTCATTAAACGTCGCCTAAAAGTTGACACTACAATGTCAAAAAATCAATTTAGGTTTATACCGAGTAGATCAGCTATAGAAGCTATATATTTATTGAGGACACTCATAAAAAAATATAGACAGAAGAAGAAAAATCTCCATATGGTATTTATAAATCTAAAAAAGGCATGTGATAAAGTGCCTAGAACTTGAGAAAAAAGGAGTGACGAATAAGTATATTGAGGTAATAATGGACATGTATGATGAGGCTACGACTACAATTAGGTCTTCGGTGGGAGAAAATAAAGAATTTTCGATCACGGTGGAATTACACCAAAGATCGGCCCTAAGCCCATACCTATTCGCCCTAATTATGGATGAACTCACTAGGCACATTCTAGATGATATTTCACGGTGTATGCTATTTGCAGATGATATTGTATTAGTGGATGAAACTCGAAGGGGAATTAACAATAAGCTAAAAATTTGGAAAGTCAAAAAAGTTTAAAATAAGTAAGAGTAAGACTAAATATATGCAATACAATTTTAGTAATAGAAGAAGTAGACAAAGTGAAAAAATTAAGATTGAAAATCAAGAAATACGAATGAGTAAACGATTTAAATATCTAGGATCGATCATTAAAAATGATGAAGAGATTGGAGATGATGTAACTCATTGAATCAACGTTGGTTGGCTTAAGTGAAGGAAAGCCTCTAGCATATTATGTGATAGAACTATAAGGACAGGAATGTTGTATGGGACGGAATGTTGAACAACTAGGAAACAACAAAGTGATAAAATGAGTGTAACGGAGATGAAAATGCTAAGGTGAATGTATGAAAAAACTAGAAAGGATAGGATACGAAATGACCGTATTAGAGAAATGGTAAGAGTAGCTCCAATTGAGGATAAGTTAAGAGATAATAGATTAAGATGGTTTGACTATGTTCAACGGAGGCCGATAGAGGCACCGGTTCAAAATATGATAAAATTTCTCCTAATGGTACTAGAAGTAGAGGTAAACCTATATTAACATTGAATGAAATAATAAGAAAAAATATAAAAATATTTAACATAAATGAGCGTATAGCGTATGATCGAAATGAATGGCGAAGACGGACTCATATAGTCGACCTCAAATGATTAGAACATAAGGCTTGATTTTGTTGGACAACCACAATGACAAGATTGTGCAATCTTGGTACAATTTTGCCCTCTTGTGTAGATATGGATTGAATTGGACAATAAATATTTTAGTAAATCGATTAAAAAATATTATTTTTGTTCTCGAGAAACCGTGAGCCCCACATTTGCCTTTTGATACTTACAAAAAGATAAAAATTGTCATGAATCCAAAGTACAAATCCAATCGGTTGGAATTGAAAAGGATAAATAAATCCAATCCAACACCATTGAGTACTACTAAAGGGCATACATCAATTTATTTTTCATTTGCTATTTTTTGCCGCTAGCACTAACGAAACGGGAGGACTAGACAAGTAAACTTTGATTATTGAATCTAGTGGTTCTTGAGCATAAGTGTGATTACATTGCTTATACATGTTTGCGTAATTGCTATTTGCAAGTTACTTACATACAAGCTCTTAGTGAAATATAAAACCATTTTATGCATAAAAAAGAAAAGCTTTACGGGAAGTGCAAAACAATGTGCATGCATATTATGAACATAAAAGAGCTGCATTGTGACCTATTGACTTGAAAGAAAAAAAGGCATCACGGAACCATAATACTAAATGTGTCAGCAACTATCTATACCAGGTGCGCGCATGCGCCCCTTCTTTGATGATTTTCCTTTTTCCCCACTCTTCTTTGCTGCTATATATTATTAGAAACCTCTTTAAAACAGCCAAGTGGCAACAGATAAGGAATGGAAGTTATGTAATCACAAAGCTTCTCCCATATCATTAACTACTAGAGAAACCAAATCTTGGTGTTCGGTGTTCCGTTGATATCATGGAAAATATTTTCACTGTCCTTTTCATGGGTTTTCATTCAAATAATTAGGATTTAATGACCATATAAATACAAGACCAGATTTCCCCAACAAACATTGCATTTACAAGAATTGTTTTTCCCTTAGAGTCTTATTTAGAGTCTATTGTGGTATAGAAATGGCAATTTAATACCTTATCTAGCGGCGCTCTATTTAAAGGGAAGACAAAATTCAATCAAAAGTTCAAAACCCTTTTATTCAAAAAGAAAAGCTTTACAGAAAGTGCATAACAATGTGCATGCATATCACGAACATAAATTGCTGGCATTATGACCTATTCACTAGAAAGAAAAAAGGCATCGCCATAATCAAAGAGATGTAAGCAGAACTTGCAAAATAAATGGCAAAAGCATAAGGCCGGTGCAGTTTGAGCATGCAGATATAATAGCTGGTCTCAATATTTATTAACTGATTATTTCCTTTATGATGCAACAGCTATTATTTTTTTGCTTAAAAGAACAAATTGTGCTACATATTTTACACTAGATTGTACATTTCAAACTCTAGGAACTACACTCAAAAATCTGTTGAAAGTAAAAGATACGGGTAGAATACAGAGGAAACATTTAGACTTGTTTCCCATTTCCCAAGCTTCCCATTAGATTGCTCAACATAAGAACTTTCTCCCAGGAGAAAACATATGAGAGACTGGCATAATGCCCATACAGTGATTCTGGAATAACTATTAAAGGACCTGGTATATTATCGGCCTTGTCACCCACAAGCGAGATCACATCAACGAACTGAGAAGGTTTTAGATCTCCATATTTTTGGGCGAAATCCTCGATTCCAAATGAGTTCATCCTAAAAAGCAACACCAAAACAATTATAGCCCCAAATAAGTTGCAGCAGAAAAATTGACACACAATAGATAACAAGATAACAAATATCTGAGTTTAATGCCTTTGTTTTTGGGATATGTAAAATTTAATTGAAAGGTTCCTAAAAATAGCTCAATAATGTAGGACAGATTAGAAACCCAGGTCATTCAACTTACAATAGAAGTCAGGCTGGCTTTGGTTGTGAAAAGCTTCTGGCGTCAGGGTTTGACATGTGAAAGGACTATAGGCAGTGCGGAAGAAAAAGTTTACAATTGGCATACTTTTGAAAATGATCTATTCCCAGAACTCTGAGAAACGTGTGCAACATATCTATGGCAGCAACAAATTTCAGAGTTTGATGTTTCATTGGATGGCCAAACGGTAATGTACTGGATCAGGGCCAATACGGATTGATATGATAAAGTTTGGGCTGAAAGAATAATTGATCTAGGGCTTGTATATTGTAAATCAAGAATAGTAAATCTGGCATTTTGGGGTTTTTGGCTTGCTAGCATGAATCTTCTTGAAGAAAAGGTTGGGCTGGTAAAACAAAAGAAATAGTTCAAATGTTTGATGGGATGCATATAATCATTGGAGGTTGAAGAAGAAGAATCTAGGAACTCCACCTAGCACTACCTAGTAATCACCCCATAGAATAAGGCCTCCTAAAATAAGGTTTCATTTCAGTATCAGAAAAGCTTCAGACAAACTCTCAAACTGAGTTCGTTTCTTCACTATTGCACTCGTAGATGTCATAAGTATTTATAGATCATCTATAAAGTACTAATACTCTGTTTAGGTCAAAGTATAAGTAGACACCGTTCAGATATGATATCTTCACACAACGATACGAATCCAAATTATTTTTTTATTTTTGGACGTCTTGGAAATGGGTACCCAAGACCAATAATTGGCTTTGGATATGGAAGTGGATATTCCCTCTGGAATTCATTGACAATCTTACATACAAGAAAAATCATTATGTCTTTGAGGACACGAGTGTTTCTTAAGTATTATGTACTACTACAAGTCAAAAGGGTATTAGATGGGTTAATTACACTATATTTCTTGGCAACAAGTACTTCTAAGTAAACCACCAAATTAAATGCTGGTTCGGGTTCCTTTCACTACCAAACCGTTAGATACCCTGCAACAAAGTGGGAGATGGACCAGGTTGTCCTTGATTGATTGACTAAATTATACCACATTTAGATTTCACCACCCCCCCCCCTTCCAAAAATAAAATAAAATTGTCCCATCAAGATTGACTCCCACTCAATCGTGCATAAAAAAGGGCCACTGTTGTCCTGGTGGGCTTTCGTTAGCCATATAGCCCTCCAAGGAGAAGGTAGTGCTTCTACTCTACCCAAGTGACCATTAGTACTATAAAAAAAAGAACTTCCTGCACTTAACACTTCTCCATCTATCCATACAATCTGTACCCTCTGAATATTCAAAGCATATTACATCTCAATAAGCACTTCAAGTGCTACATCTCTCATAGTTCTACGAAATGAAAAAGTGCAGATCCAACCCCTTTGTGCAAATCTTGACAAGCGAGGTCCCTAGTCATAAAGTGGGTGTTAAATTCCATAATAAGTTACACGTGTCAATAACCAATTCTTCCTATCACCAAGGATCAAAATTTTGTTTCAATACATTATTTAGGTCATCTAGAAAACAGAAACATTTCGACATATTTCGAAAACACTTGAAATAATTGTGAGTGAAAAAAGGGATACAAACTAAGTGTAGAGCCCCCGTATATATAGCCAATGAAAATTACAATAAGGATAAAAAGGTAAAAAAGAGAAAACTTAATAAACCCTAATAAACTAAGCTGCTATATCTCCAACACTCCCCCTCAAGCTAGGCGCAAAAATGTCAAATAAGCCAAACTTGATAATAGAGTCTCGAAGAATGGATAGAGTGACAAGTTTGGTGAAAATATCTGCAACCTGATCACTAGTCCCCACAAACGATGGAGTGACAATACCACTGCTAACCTTCTCCCAAAGAAAGTGAATATCGATCTCTATATGTTTCGTCCTTTCGTGTAACACAGAATCAGAAGCGAGCTGAATAGCAGATCGAGTATCACAATATAAAGTAGATGAAGTCACTGGAAGTCCCAACTCGCCAAGAATCGATCGTAGCCAGATAATCTCACATGTGCCAAGTTTCAGTACCCGATACTTTACCTCTGCTGACGAACGAGAGACAACTGACTGTTTCTTGCTTTTCCAAGAGGTAAGATGAATCCCTCGAAAAGCACAGAAGCTTGTAGTAGAACGACTGTCACATGCTCTCCCATAATCTGAATCTGAATAACAGGCTAGAGAACCAATCTGAGATCTTAATGCATAGAACAACCCGAGTCCAAAACAAGACTTGAGATACCAAAGAATATAATAAACTGCATCAAGATGTGGCTGACATGGTCTATACATGAACTGACTAACTCGGCTAACAGCGAATGAAATGTCTGGTCTAATGTTGGCTAGGTAGATAAGTCTACCTACCAATAAGTCGGATCTCCCAACTCCTCACCTTCAGCAATAAGCTTCAGGTTTGGAATCATGGGTTATGATGTCGATTTGCACCCCAGCATCCCAGTGTCTGAGAGAAGGTCCTGAATATACTTTCTCTGAGAAAGAACAATACCGCTACTGCTACGGGCAACCTCAATCCCAAGAAAGTATCGCAAAAATCCAAGGTACTTCACATCGAAGACCTTCCCAAGGTCTACCTTAATCTGCGCAGTCCCAGAAATATCATCTCCAGTAATAATAATATCATCAACATATACCAAAAGGATAAAACACTGTCCGGAAGTATTCCGTCGAATGAAACAAGTATGATCAAAATGACATCTAGTAAATCCTAAATGTACAACTACATCACTAAAGCGAGAGAACTAGGTTCGTGGCGACTCTTTCAGTCCATAAAGAGACTTACGCAGTCAACATACCTTTTCAGCATACTCCCCCTCACCACGAAAGCCCGGTGGTGCATCCATATAAATAATTTCGTCCAGATCACCGTGAAGAAATGCATTCTTCACATCCAACTGATGAAGAGGCCAAGAGTACTCCGCAGCCAGAGAAATAATCAGTCGAACAGTAGTCAATTTTGCCACGGGGGCAAAGATAACACCAAAATCACAACCTGAAACCTGAGTAAAGCCCTTCGCCACAAGCCTAACCTTGTGACAATCAATAGTACCATCCGCAAGAAACTTCAGGGTGTAAACCCAGCGACAGCTAACACGTTTCAATCCTGAAGGTAAAGAGACAAGATCCCACGTATGATTACGCTGAAGAACATCCATCAAGAACCCATTGGGGCTCCCGCATAGCCTCTGAAATAGAGCGAGGAACCGGCATATCTAATAAGGTCATACTATAAGCTCGAAATGTAGGAGACAGATCACCATAAGAAACATAAGCAGAGATCCGATATAAAACTGGCGGTCCAACCATAACGAATAACTGGACGATAATTATGTCGCGGATAACGACGTCCTAAATCATCATCCTCTACTGATAATGTCTCATCAGGTAAAACAACTGGCTCAATACCTGCAATCTCATCAGTACTAACAACAGGTGCATCAATATGCTTAACTAACTGAGAAGTATTACCTGCATCGCCTGAGGTAGAAGGGGCATCAGCAGGGGGATGAGAGCAAAGGCGACGAACATAAACCTACAAAGGAAGAGAAACTAATAACTCTGTACTGACAGGGATGAGTGGCTCTGGAAGAAGAAAGACCGATGACTCTGTAGTGATAGTGACCAATGACTCTAGCTCTGGTGGTAATGAAAAATAAAATGGAGTATCATCAACTAGAGTGGCAGACACAGGACTGAAAGAAAGAATATGCTCGAGGAAGGTAACATCTAGACTGTGATACATACATCGCCTGACAGGATCATAACACCGATACCCTTTAGACTGATGACAATAGCCTACAAAGACATAACAAATCGCTTTATTATTAAGCTTATGACGAGTAGGAGACCGATCCTGAACAAAACATGTGCAGCCAAAAACACGAGGGGGACCAAAAAAAGTGTTCGCTCAGGGAATAAGACCTGCAAGGGGGCCCTATGCTGAAGAACATAACTCGGTGTACGATTACACAAAAAGGTAGAAGTCAAAACAGCAAAATGCCAATAAGATTTCTGTACCCCCATACCTCTAAGCATACAACGTACTATCCCTATCAAACTCCTATTTTTTCTTTCAGCAACTCTATGTTGCTCAGGAGTATATAGACAAGTGAGCTGCTAAAGGATACCTTGAGAAGAAAGGTGACACTAAGGCATCAGACACATATTCTTTAGCATTATCCGAACGAAGAGCACGAACAATGACATCGAACTGTGTTTTAATTATCTGAAGAAATTGAGTCATGACAGGGAGTACATCAGACTTCCTATGCAAAAGGTAGACTCAAGTACAACGGGTATGGTCATCTATAAATGTCACATAATATCGGGCACCTGACAGAGAAGTAACAGGAGAGGGTCCCCAAATATCCGAGTGTATTAGGTCAAATGGTTTGGGTGACTGATGCATATGAGGAATATAACTGGTCCGAACATATTTTGATAGGGAACATATAACACAGTCAAGTTTACCACTAACACAAGCTTTGCTCAAAGCAGAAAATAACATACATAAATATTTAAAATTTGTATGCCCAAAACAGTCATGCCACAACTGAATAGTTTATGATGAAAAATCATAACGACAAGTATTAGGTAAAATACTAGCGTGTAAGCTAGGAACAGATAAAGACAAAACAGGTGATGGAGGTGGAGGTGGAGAAACTGGTGAAACCGAAGGTGGATTGCCTAAATAATATAGTCCATCTCTCTCATGTCCCCTGATAATAATCCTCCTGGTACTCAGGTCCTGCAAATAACACGAATAAAATAAAAATACAATCACACAGTGAAAATCTCTGGCTAACTAATGTACAAATAATAGATTCATGGTCAGCTTTGGCGCATGAAACACCGAACGTAATGTAAAGCTATCTGGGAGGCGAACTGTACCCCTACTAACAATAGGAGCATGTGTACCATCTGCTAACTGAACTTGAGTATGTAACTGCTCGTCAAAAGAGGTGAAATGATGGGCCTCACTTGTCATATGACCATTAGCACCCGAGTCCAGCATCCAAAGAGAAGACGGACTGGCGCAAGTATGAAAGGCACGACGTATACCAGTAGTAGTCGTAGCAGTAGTAGTCGAACCTTGAAAAGTCAAGGCTGACATAAGTGTATCCAAGCGAGAAGTGATAACATCCATATCACTCCGCCAAGGAAGAGCAGTAGCAGTAGTAGCAGGAGCAAT